AATGGCAAGGGGGGGACAGGGGGAGTGGCCCTGAACCTGAACTGCTTGGGGGGAACAGGGTTAGGCCCAAAGCAATGCAGGGTGGGGGAACAGGGTCAATCCTGATTGGGGAGGGTGTGGCTGGATGATGGGAGCGGGGCACAGGGCTGGATGCTGGGCTCTGTCCCTGCCAGCCCCCTAGGTGGGGGTGGGGGGGGTGGCCTTGGCCCCAAAGTGGTGCGGGTAGGAAAAGTGAGCCTGGCCCTGGGCCTCTGTCCCCACCCACCCGGCAGGCAGCAGTGATGGAGCACATGGAGGAGTAGGGCAGCAGATGGAAAGAGGAATGGCCTGGCCTTAGCCCCAAAGCAGCAGGGGGGAGAAGGGGAGTTGGCCTGGCCCTGAAAGTGGGGGGGGGGTGCGGGCTGGATGCAGGCCTCTGTCCCCGGCCACCCCCTCTCCCCCCTGTCATTCTTGATGGGCAATTGGATAGTGTACCATAGTGTCTGAGCTTCTAGGAAGTCAACTGCAATAGTGGAGTCCCTAAACCAGGGGTGAGCAAAATATGGCTTGGGGGTTGGATCCGGCCCACCCAGCTCACAGGACCCCTCCAAAAGCTGAAAGACCATTATCACCAGCCCTGGCCATCGGCTGCCCCTCTGAAAGCCAGCCCCTCCATACAGGAGGTGCCAGCATCCCCTGTGGCAGCAACTTGGACTCTGGTTGCTAAGCAGCCAACTCCCACCCCAGCCTGGTCTGGTCCTAAGAGGAGTACATAATAACTCTTATCATATAGTATTCTCATCCAAAAGGCCCTAGTTTTATGAAGTGCTTTAAGATCACATTATCTGCATCAAAGCATAGCTGAGACTTCGATCTACGTTCTCCCTAAAAAGCAGAACTGTGTCAGTGGTTTGTAGCTTGCCATTCAATCTTTAGTGCACTTGGGACTTCATTCACAGCATTGAAGATCATGGACTAGAACAGTAAACCAGTATCTGAAATGACTGAGAGCCAGTGGAGGAACTTGAACAGAAAAAGGCAGGCAGTCAGCTATGTTCTGTTTTAGTCGGAGTCTGTGCTACATCATCACATTCACCTTCAGCTACAGTGAATTGAAGTACTCCAGCTTGAAGACAACAAATGCATGGATCACTATAGATGGGTCCTCATCTGGAAAGAAAGGGCAAAGTTTACAGGAAAGCTGGAGATGAGAGGTGGCATATTAAGATATTGTTGATATGTTGTCAGCCAAGCATAGTGAAAAATCAAAAAGGATCCCCGTGAAGGGGGAAAAGGTAGCCTGGCATCGTCTGTCCCCCCCC